ACTGAACAATATCTTTGATTTGTTCCTTAAGGAATAATAATTGGTTTAAAGTTTATCCAGTCCTGATTGTTGATTCTTCTGTTTATATTTGAAAGAAAAAGAAGTTTTTTACTGAGAATTTTATCATGAGAATATCGGAGAAAGCTGAAACAAACTGCGAAGCAAAGTAAAAATTGAAATTGGGCCTGAATTGGATCAAGCCGCGGAAAAAGCCCACAGGAGAAGGCCCGAAGCGTCCAAGCCTTGGACGCTTTGCAGGTTGGACGCTTCCCCTTGGACGCTTGGCAAAGATTGGGCATCACGAAAGCCACGTGGCGAGCAGCGAATGGACGGGCCGTGTAAGGCGTCCAACTTTGGACGCTTTGGATCTGGACGGCCGGGGTTGGACGCTTCGCGTCCAGTCCTATAAATACAGCACCCCTCTCTCCGATTTGACACGCTGCACAGCGCCCCTCTCTCCCTCCCAAGTCCGAATTTCTCCATTTTTAGTCTAGATTTACAAGGTTACTTCCATATTTTAGATTAGTATTATTTCCTGGAGTTTTCACGGAGCAAATTGTAAGCCCGAACCTCCAGTTCTTCAGATTGTCGAAGTAAGTTTTGTCAACTCTCTACTTTTAATGTTTGAATGTTGTACTGAACCCCGGTAGGCCTAAAGTTTGATGAAGATGTAAGTTACTATATCTTCTTTTTCAGGTTTGACTAATCTTTTTAAACTGTTTCATTTGGTGAATTCCTATTCCTACTTACATCCAAATAAATGGACAACTTTAACTAAAACTCATTTAGATCAATAGGTACGTACTCCATATATCAGATCATGATGCAAATTCTTTTCTAAGGACATTGTAAAACTTTCTCACACAGTGACAAGAATTTGATATATTTTACGTTTTCTTCTTCGAATTGCTGTTTTGAAGTTTGAGAAGTGCATTTTCACATGATTTATTTGTATGGTTGTATTGGGCATTGCCGATTAGGTTTCCAACTTTAGTTCATGTCATCAATTTTTAAAAAGTTTATTTTTTTTCTAATTGCAATGGTTAATAATTACTTTACCATATCTACTTTTGCAGATGAACTTATTTGTCTTTAACATCTCACACCGTCCTACCTACATAATGATGATGTGAATATGAACTGCCAATTGAAGGTCTCAAAGGCATTTTGTCAAAAGACAGGTATGGAATGAGTATTTATTGAGATATCATCTTGGTTATCCCTTTTGAATCTGTTCGAGTTTTTTAGCGGGGAAGGCTAGGTATATATAGAAGCTGTTTCCTACTATTTTTTATTCTTGATTGGGAGGTTTTGGTTGATGTTGGGGTGCATCTAGCATAAAGTATGTTCTTTATTTTGTTGGACATAAATCCCTTAAATTCGAGTGTATGAGGAGATTTATTAAAATGCTGATCAAGATAACACTACGAAATAAGTGAGATAACAGCCATAAGTGAGATAGCAGACATTAAAATGCAATATATTGATTTTGACATTATGAGGTGGTGTTAGGAGTTACGACATTAAACTAAAACTAAAAGGGCATTACAAGCAGAGGTACGAACGTTAAAATACATGAAAAGCATGGAGATTAAGCTTGCGAGAGGCCATTAATAAGCTATAGCGTCAAACATTCGTTAAGAAGAAATTGATTTAGTTATTTTAATTTCGATGGTTTAATTTAGCCTGAAGTGCTTTTTAGTAATTTGTTAACAAGTACTACACATTTTGTATTCTTTGAATGAATCTGTACTATCTGATTTGTATGTTAAATCATATTTTTATATTTGATTTTCCTATCAAATATTAGCTTAGTTTTATTTTTGAAAACCTCATAGGTGATTTTCCAACATTCTTGGAAGCAAGAAAGGTGATTCCTCTTGCATAGGGATACATGTAGGGGAGAAGAAACAAAAGCAGATTCAAAGACGAAGGGTGGGTAATCTCACTTATAGGCGTATGTTGTTTGTACATTCATTATGATTCATTTTGTTGAAGAATTTGTAAAACCTAACAATTTGCAATGGACATCAATTTTTTGTTACATAAAGTTAAAATTTGAGTTTATTTTTAAATTTTCAAAATAACAATCGGTTTCATTCTTAATAAAACTCAAACTGTTGTCCTTTTCATTTTATGCAACTCATTTTCATGGCAAAAGTTGGGAGACATGATGGGCTGGTACTATAAGTTCTAAGGATATAAGAGCTTGAAGGTGTTGTTCTTGGTATTCGACACTGCATTGAGGTTGCAATTTTAGGCATTAGAGCTTTGTGATTGAAATCAATGAAGTGTTCATTTAAACATTTGAAAAGACAATTCATTTTTAAAGTATTAAATTTGTATTCGCCCTTCAACAAATGTAATTGTAATACATTATTTTTTTAACTTTTATAATTTAAATTATGATAAATTTTCTTTCCGTGCATCGCACGGGTACGAGTCTAGTTTTGTTACAACAGAGGTCGAATGTTGTTCAGCAATCTTGTACAGTTCTGAGTTGCTACCCGGATCGGGGTTGAACAAAAACGGATGTCGTCCTGGCTGGCACTGTGAAGCAGCCAGAGGAAGGATCATATGTTGACTTCTTTACCATTGCATCATTTGAGCTCATCTGTACATGAATAAGGATTCACATCTTAAAAACATAACACCCGCTATGGAATTGTTCGTTGATATTCAAAGACTAATATACTCCGTATAAGAATATGAGTTAGAGCATGTTCTTTTCAACTCATTCTTATTAGAATCAGTTCAGTTCAGATCAGACGAGATGATTAGAAACAACTTTAAATATAACTACATTCAGATCAAATCAGACGAGATCAAAACTTATTCCAATCAGAATCATTCAGATCAGGTGAAGAGAAGAAGCCCGTACTCATGCTAGTTGGTTTTAGGCTGAAATCTTGTAATTCTACGTGGTATCAGAGCCAAGGTTTATATGATAAACAAAGCTAAGGTCTTTTCACAGAAGTAATAACTTGAGGCAAAAAAGTGAAAAACTCAAGTTGCACTTGATAGAATGTTGAGGATATAGTCTCATGTCGTACACCCAGACTAAAAAAACACTAATATATAAAAATATGAGTTACTTCTCTCATTGCTAATTGGTTTTGGATCAGAATCTCACAATTTTACACAAGTGTCAATAAAGGTTAAAATAATTTTTCATGTACATGCAGATTTCAGAACACGGAATGTTCAAACCACAAATCAGAGAGGAATGATAATACAGCAATACCTGTATGGGATGCAGCCGAAGAGACTTAGAGGACAAGGCAGGGATAGTACATGAGACTTTCATTGGGCACGCATTGACGAGGACGACTATATATGAGTATCTGTTGCAAGCATTGGCATTTTTCAGCAGTAATTCAGCAAAGTAGAAGAGAAGAAACAGAAGTGATTATTTTACACACGTGGGATCGAGTTGAGTAAGCCCTGGAAATCCCTCATATCCATCCTCAAGGCTCATTACTATGACACCTGGAGTCCATGATGGACCAACATTATGAAACCGTACTCTTTCCTGAGAATCATATGTTAAGTTGCAAGTCAAGGTTGATGGCTTATAAAAAAAATAAAGCATAAATATCTCAAAATTAGATTTTGAGCTCGTTCAGTAAACCCATTTTTTTAACCTACCAACCCGATCGGCTTTCACCAAACTGTTGGTTGAATTGGAAGATGATGAAACCAGTGCACAGGTAAAGAAAAAGACATCTAAACCTCCATTTTCAGATACAAAATATTATTTTTATTAATTGATTTAATAAGTTACTTGGAACTACAGTTTTTCTTACACAATTCTGCCAATTCCACCATGACTTGAGCAAATTCAGTAAGTTCAATGACTTTAACCAATTCAGATCTTACAAATGGGATGTTCATCTCTAAGTTCATGGTATAAACAAATAACTGTATTACCTAACAGATGCATGGATGCATCTCACCTGAATAGCATTTGCTGTCCTCAGGCGAAAAAGCGGAGATGAGTATCTGATTTGTAAGAGATTACAGAAATTTTCCAGCGCAGCAATGATATGGCTCTTTTGAGGCTTGAAAGAAGGATTGGCCAATCTAGGTTTCATTCTGAATTAAAAACAGAGATGAAATGAACATAAAGTAAAATAGATTTTAAAGACGGAATCTCAAGAAAAAAACATTTTGCATAAGAACTTTTACAAAAAAACTAACAGTGGCCAGTTCTGCTCATTTTTCTCCTTTGGGGGTAGACCAACACCCCAGTTATTAGAATTGTAGTTGAAGTCTAGCCTGAAATGTTACAACAAAGGCCTTTTCAAGAACTAGAAAATATAAGTGATCATAACAAGTTAGCAGAATAACAAAAAAAAAGCATCATTTTAAAGGTTAGATACCACAAATAGAAAAGCATGATGGAGAAAATCAGTTATGACCTATTAAACCAATCACCGGAGTTGTAAGAATCACGATCAAGTGATTTTGATCGCAGAATCTCATCGCCAGAGTGGAAGAAAGGTATGCCCTGTAGAAGAAATAAGTATACATTTACATAATTAGTGCAATTTGATGTTTTTAAAATACTGGGCAGAAGAATAGAAATCTGTCATTTTCTCCTCTTTTCTCCTGTTCAGAAATATGCATGGAAGTCTCTACAGCTACTGGCAATACGATAAGTGGTGTTGGTGTCGGAAACATGCAAAGAAGAAATAAGGCAGAGTATATAAAAACAGCATGAACAGAGGAAATCCGACCTGCGAAAGGGCTATCACACTGGTTGCTAAATGGTTCATCCTGCATCTCTCCTCTACAGAAATATGCATGGATGTCTGTACAGCCAATGGAAATAATATAAGTGAAGTTAAGAAAAAATGAAAAATATAAAGAATGGCCAAAAAAAAGTCTCTGTTAACTACCTTCAAGCTTAGAATGTCAAAAAGAGTCTCATTGTCATGGGCAGACACATAATTTATCTGCAGGGAACAAAAATGTCCAAGGTGAATAGTTATTGGAAAAAAACATCATAAAAGTCTAACAAGGACTCTATTGATATAGCAGAAGTAATTAAGAAAACTAATCATCTTCAGTGCGCAAATGGAGTTGGGTGGAAAGAGCTCCATATTCTTTTTGTACAATACAAAATAACATGGGCTGATATCAAAATGTCTTACAGTTTCAATTGGGCAAGAAGTATAGGCGATGGGCTTTCCATCGTGAGTTAGAATCTCAGATCCTTTAACCTGCACAAAAGGAAAAACATAACCACACATTAATATTGGCTCCATTACATGAAATACTGTGATAAAGCTTGAGCCAAATTGATTAAATTTAGAATGAAAAAGTGTACATCAAGTCCCAATTCGAGAAGGGATAGTCTCCAGATTCTCAAAGGAAAATACCATGAAAAATAATCACATAAGAAAATAACATGACTCTAAGTAATAAATCCCACTCCCAGGGGAGTTGGTAACTGCCACGTAACCCACCCACTCAGCCACTTAGTGGGTTGTTTGAAATGCTCCACTTCTCCCGGCCCACCCTTTGCCATCTTCTTTTTCCTTCTTGAATATACCAATCTGATTGGAGGCTTATCACTACTACCCGCCCGGTAAAATGACTTGTCCTCAAGTCGAAAGGAAGGGAATTGAGCTCACAACAGATCATAACACTCCCAGGTAGCTTCCTCCACTGGACATTGACACCAAGAGATGAGTAACTCCAGCACATGCTGACCTGCTTCTCATACCCAGCGGTGAGAGAGAACTTCTTTAGGCTGCACGTCAAATTCCCAGTCCTTTGTGACGGGGAGGGGAGCAATAGGTGAAGTCGGAACTTGCCCCCTAGCTGGTTTCAGCATTGATACATGAAACACCGGATGAACGCGAGCATCTGGAGGCAATTCCAACTCATAAGCAACAGGCCCCACCTTGCGTGTAACTTTGTAAGGCCTAAAGAACCGGGGAGAAAGCTTATCATATCACCGTTTAGCCAAGCTTTTTTGCCTATAGGGTTGTATCTTTAGAAACACCACATCCCCTACTTCAAAAGAGAGTTCTCTGCGTTTTGTATCAGCTTAAGATTTCATTCGATCTTGAGCTTTGTGCAGATTCTGTTTTAAGATTTTCAGCATATCATCCCTGGTTATTAGTTGTTCTTCTAACTCAGCATTCTTAGTTTCCCCAGCGATGTAAGGATGGAAGGGAGGAGGGTCACGACCATAAACTTCCGAGAAAGGAGTGGTGTTGATGGCAGTGTGAAAGCCAGTATTGTAGGAGTACTCGGCCCATGACAGAAACGAACTCCATTTGTGAGGCTGCTCGTGAGCAAAGCAACGAAGGTAAGCCTCTAAGCATCGATTGAGGACTTCAGTTTGTCCATCCGTTTGGGGGTGGTAACTAGTACTCAGCTTCAAAGTGGTCTGACTGAGGCGAAAGAGCTCCTGCCAGAAGTGACTCAGAAATATCACATCCCTATCAGAGATAATAGATCGTGGAAAACCATGAAGGCGAACAATTTCCTTGCAGAACACGGCAGCAACTCCTTTGGCTGTAAATGGG